TACAGAACTTGCTTATCTTAAAATAGTCTCCAAGTGATTTCTGAGTCTCTTCTCCACATCACAGATGCCATCTTTGCCTTTATCATCATGATCATTGTCACAAAAAGCTCTTGTGTGTTCATAACTTGTCACGAGCTAGATATGAGTACTTTACATTTATGACCTAATTTAAAATGCACAGTGAGGTTGTGGTGGAGGTACCATTAACTTTATCCTGAGAGTTTATTTACATTATTCTGACATTTGTGAAGACAACAAGGAAGATTTATGTAAGACTTATTACAATGAGTGTATTGTAATAGAGAGGAAAGATCAAGCTAAACTGTAAGTTCAAGGACAAGTGAGGATTTATAGCCAAGGAGAAGGGATTGGATCTGTGAATGGAAAATTACTTCAAAGAAAACATCAAGATAGGGGGATTTTTGTTAAACTGACCTAACAGGATTCTTGCTAAGGCAGAATGTCCTATATCAAAGATGGAAGATGAGGAACTTGATCAAGTATCAAACATGATCAGATATCAATGGTGCTGGGATAATTTAATGGGATTTTTTTTGTTTGGGGGTAGGCCAAAAACAGGATAGGGTCCAAGGTCAAAGCCTAGTCAAGAAAAAGTTCAGAGAATGCTGACTGAAATTTGGTGGAGGAGAGTCCTTATGACTACATGAGGGAAACTACAAGTTTCTCATTGATCATGACATGGCCAAGGTGTAATACTGTCTCTAACACAGAGTAAAATTCCATTAATATTTAATTAAAGATAAAATGAAGAAAAAGAAAGTAGATATATAGCAGATAAATAACTTGCACATAATCATATAGATATAGTGGAGCTAACAATAAATTCAGGTGTACAACACTCTCAGTTTTATGTCAGGAACATTATGATGCTTGGTCTCAGACTATCCCACCACCAGTTCCATCTACCTTTATCCTTTTAAAGGGACACAAGTATAAATTTCAGTTTCTCAGCCCCCAAAAGGCATTCCTTCCATTAGTGATACAGACAGCCCTTCCATCTCTATCAAAAATCAAGAGCTAATTTCAAGATATTCTTTTTTTCTTGATTTTATTCTATTTTTCTTTTTATTGGTTCTTTTAGTTATACATAACATTAGGATTTGTTTTGACATAAATTATAAAAGCATGGAATATAATTTGCTTTGATTCAGTCTCTAGTACTTCCCTCTTTCCTCCTCTCCTTTCTCTTTCTGTTCCCCTCCCTCTACTCTACTGATCATTTTGCTATTTACTTAGTTTTTTTCCTTATAGAGTCACTCTATTTAAAAATTTACATAATATCAGTGTTCTTATAGCATTTTTTTTAAAAAGTTTCAAATATAGCAGGGCTTAAGAAAAGCACAAATTGTTTGGTCTATTGGAATGTACCATATTAAACAGAAAATGTCACTAAACATGCATGTGCTTGTGGCTCAGGGCAAGGTTACTATCTTATTCTTGATCCGTATCAATTTCAGTGAACTTTTTGAACTTCCTTGAGACTTCACTTCCCTATCTGTAAACCAAAACAAGCAATGATCATGGCTACCTGATAACTTTGTTATGAAAATCAAACTATAAAAGTGAAAGTATTCATAAAATCTTAGGCTTTCTGGCTCATAAAGAGAAAACAACAGCAATATATAAGAATAGCACTAGTTTTACTAGGTTCTATTAACTATTGAAATGGTGTTATTATTACTTGTCTTTCAGAAAAAAAAGAATTCCCTTGCCTAGCAGATCTATTTGACATCACTTCAGGATTCTGTCACTGGAAATAGGTTTTTCACAATTGAGGTGGGAGCTCTTGACAATATAAAAGTATCTAAGTATCTGGGAAGATACTAGAAGGTCATTTCTTTTACCTGAATCTGACAGCCCCCCGCCACTTCAGCACTATGAGAACAACATCCTTTATCCTACTCCTGGTTGTGGCACTTGCAACCATATTCAGTGAGTATCTCTCATAATACTACCCTTGTCCTGAGAAAACAGCTCCTTCATCTCTGCCTACATAATATTAGAATGTACTTATCACATAGGTCATAAGGAAACTTTCTGACACATTACTCTTTTTTTGTCTCTACCAATGAATCACTAAATCACATCATCTCTGTGGTTGAACAATGTCAATGGTCAGCTAAAACCAAATTCTAATCCCTACTAACATTTTGTGTAACTTCATAGGTTATCATCCAGATTCTATTTGACTTCATAGCACCATTTATGAAGATGTCTTCTTTTCATAGAACATTATAATCTGTTGTTTTGGCTACATGAGCAATTCTTCTTCGATTCTACTTCCATTATTGAGTTAAAAACTGTCTCCCTGCCAGGCATGGTGTCTCACACCTGTAATCCCAGCAGCTTGGGAAGTGAGGCAGGAGGATCATGAGTTTAAAGCCAGCCTCAGCAATTTATCAAGGCCCTAAGTAACTCATCGAGACCCTGTCTCTAAATAAAATATAAGTATGTGGCTCAGTGGTTAAGTTTCCCTGAATTCACTCCCCAGTAACCTCTCCCAAAAAACTCTCTCCCTAGAATTTTTAACCATGAGTCTTGTTTCTGGCACCTACCTATGCCTACTATATAAAAGCAGATGTTCCTTTCATATTGTGTTTTTTTTTTTGTTTTTTTGTGGTGCTGGGGATCAATCCCAGGGCTTTGTGCGTGCTAGACAAGCACTCTACCAACTGAGTTATTTCCCCAACCCCCAATGTTCCTTTCATATAAGGAATTTTTTTCAGTATTTACTGAGCTTTTATTATGAAAAGAAAAAGGATAAGACAAACTTCTCATTTATCATAGCACCTTTATTATTTTTTTGATATTTCAATCATATTTCAAAAGCAAGGAAGAAAAAAATCTGTGTTAGAAGCTTCGACCTTTGATATTAAGTGGATACAGAGTTCTGAAGAAAAGCTTACACTGTCTTATCAAACTGAGACATAAATCAAATATCATTTCTCTAATAAGATTAGGTTATTCCAGAGTTTAACTTAATATTGTCTTTGTTTTACTTCCAGATATAGACTGTGCCTCAGAGGAGTACCAGGTCAGTTAATCCATCTTGATATAAAAACCCTAATTTTAAAAAATTTTAAAGACCAATATTAGTAAGGAAATGTTTGATATTATATATTAACTATATTTCTGTTGAAGAGTTAATTTCTGAGTATCAAAATTGGTTTTACTTCTAACATCATAGAGTGATCTCCCCAAAATGAAGGTGGAAGAACAAATTGATGAGACATTAATATCAAAGTTAAAAAGTCTTGAGTTTCAATTCTATCTCATTTTCATGTGGCCCTAGGAAAAGTTACTGTGAGATTGTTCTAAGACCTAAATCTACAGAATTTGAAAATGGCCTCTAAGAGAATAAAGACTGTTATTTCCACTTGTCCTTCATGGTTTATTTACATAATGATTATTGCTGGGAAAAAAAACTGGGTATAGTAGTAAAAACTTAAAACCAACACTCAGGCATTTTAAGTACTCATTTTAACTCTGTTTATTATTAACTGTGTGACCCTGTGGCCTGGACAATTTCTTTTATGTCTGTGAATCTTTTATTTTATCTATTAAAAAATAATAAGGTTAAGATATAAGCCTAGTCCTACAGGCCCAAATTCAAGCCATCCTTCACCATCTAATAATTGTGAGAATGAAAAGGGTTAATGAGGGTTAAGCACTTGACAGTCACTGTCTGAATTATATCACACAAACCCCAATTCTGGGCTTTGAGCAATCAAGGGGAAGTAAAGCCAGGCCGGCATGGATTTATCAGGGGGACCACTATCTCCTGCTGCACTAGCCCCTGAGGTCTTCCTGCATTTGTGTCATGCTTATTGATCCTCGCATCAGCAACATTCAACTCATTCCCTAAATGTAGGAGGTACATGGAGGATAGCAAATGATGAATGAAAAAATTTATGAGTGGAGCTTATCTGGAGGCAAAGGTGAATTCAGGTTTGAGTTTGAGCACTGTCCAGTTATACCATCAGAGATAAACAATTAGTACAATACTGCTTCTGGAATTCTAGAACTGAATGAGCTGAAGATGCAGAATATGTTTTACAGAACTGGAGTTTGTGCAGCTCAGGAAGTAAAGACAAAGGAGAAAAACAACAGCCATTATTTTTTCACTGTTTTCCATGCCATGTAGTTCTAAGCACTGTACACATATCTTCCCCAATATTTATTTTGTCTTTCAACCTCACAATGCAGTTATTACTACTTTCATTTTGCAGGTAAACAAACTAAAGATTGGAAAGGTGAAGTAACTGCCCCAGGGTCATATAGTAGAATTTTAATTCCATATTTGACTGTATTGTTCACATTCTTCAGTATGCTCAAAGATAACAAATCCAGAAAATTCTTTCTCAGGAATTTTCTACCTACTCCCATAGGTAGATCACTGCTTTGACTTTGCTCCCAGAGTTTAGAACAGTTATTCCTAACTCTAATTTAAAATACATTTGTCTGCCTGTGTGCTGGTGAAGTGTATAGCAAGTGTACAAGAGAATAACCAATAAGTAATGTTAAAAGTTACCAATGATATACACTAGTTCTTAAAAGTAAAATAATTATTCTTACAACATTCCTATTGGACTTTATGAGTGAAAAAGATAAGTATCAGGGTAATTCATACAGAACACTTCTGGTTAATCCCTTGAGAATGGGTACATTTGTGGATATGCTATGTGTGTTGAGAACTGATGAATCAACCTCTGTAGTGAGAAAATTCTATTTTGAAATAAATTATGATTTTGTAACCAACTATATAAAGATGTCTATTGCTCATGATCTTTTTCTTGTTTTTGTTGGTACCAGAGATTGAACCCAGGGGCTTAACCACTGAGCCACATCCTCAGCCCTTTTTATTTTTTTATTTTGAGACAGGGTCTCACTAAGTTGCTTAAGGCCTTATTAAGTTGCTAAGGCTGGTCTCGAACTTGTGATCCTCCTATTTCAGGCCCCCAAATTGCTGAGATTATAGGCATGCGCCACCATGCCTGGCTGCTTATGATTTTTCTATCCAAAATAAAATATCTTTATACATGGTATATCTAAAATTGATTATATAAGGACCAACAATTTTACTAATAAACAAATGCATGGACTTACTTGGACTTGCTCTGGACTTGCTTGGCAAATACTAAGTCCTTGGAAATAAATATGTGATTGAATTAATCGAACTTTTAATGTTTGTTTTTAGGTTAATTGCACTCCTTATAGAAACCTACCACCAGAAGAACTAAGATTTTGTCCTCTAGTCTATGAACCAATTTGTGGATCTGATGGCAAAACCTATTCCAATGAATGTATCTTTTGTTTTAAAGTTAAGTAAGTACTGAAATATTATATTTTTTATATTTGAGTTAAAGTTATATGCTAAGTACCACAATTAGAGAAATAGTTCAGGGCATATGAACTATGGGAGTCATATCATATGACTGGAAAATCAGAACCCTGTGACTCAGAGGATTTGAAAGTCCCTGGTGTCATATCCCCATGTATTTTGATGTACACTCGTTCTGAAAAGTAAAATAATTATTCTTACAACATTCCTATTGGACTTTATGAGTGAAAAAGACAAGTATCATGGTAATTCATACAGAACACTTCTGGGTAATCCCTTGAGAATGTGTACATTTGTGGAATTAAGCTTCAGAATCAGAGAAGCCTAGAATCTCCAAATTGGAAGGAAACTTGAGATCATCTACTTCAACTTTCACCTTGTAATGTATTATGTAGAGACTCTGTACAAAGACATCACAAAGAAATCCCATAGTCCATGCTTATTTCAAGAGGCAAGGAATGCCTGCCCCCCCTCCCCAACATATCAATTTACATCTGTTAAAATGAGCCATATTAATTTTCAACTTCAGTAACTAGGTTTGGAAATGCAAAAACGTCCCTAATGATTGTACAAAAGGGACCATATCTGAAAAAACCTGTAGATTTGTTCTGTTTCAATGAAATGTATATTTTAGATAAAGTGAAAAATATATTTTAAAATGAAATAGGCAAAAGCATCTCAAAGGTTAAAAATAACCTTTGAGTAGCATCAGATCAAAAAACATGAAATGCTGAGTGATATCCAAGAGATTACAGTATAGTGCTCCGCTGTAATCTCAGAGACTCAGGATGCTGAGATGGGAGGATCCAAGTTTGAGGTCATCCTCAGCAACTAAGAGAATAAGTCTCAAAATAAAAAAATAAGAAGGTCTGGGGATACAGCTCAGTGGCAAAGTGTCCCTGGGTCCAATCCCTGGTACCCACCCTCTCCTCCCCAAAAAAGAGTCTAGAAAAATATCGGTTCTTATAAATATTTTCAAAATATATAGGACAAAATATATATGAAGTGAAACCAAGTATCTAAAATTCATGACATACTGTCCTGGTTCTTTTTTAATGAAAAGTTATAATGCATCCTGAAAAAAAAGCCTTCTAAATGAATGTTTCCTTTAAATTAAAAAAGTCAATTAAAATATTTTCAAGGATATAAACTAATTGTGATGTCTTTTGAGTATCATCTTTATGTAATCAGCACCAGTTTTGAAAATACTGCTAAAATACAGTCATTCCTTTTTAAAACATCAGTAAGTGGGAGACTTTTCCACTTTGGGTTTTTACTGGTGAACTTTCAATGCTAATGAAATGCTAATGAACTCAGCATTTATTTCTTGCTTTTCTCTTTCTACAGGGAAACTGATGAATTACTTAAATTTATACATTTTGGAAAATGTTGAATCCATCTTCTGATTCCAAAATACCTTCTAATGCATTTTCTTACTAAGAGACACATTTCATTTCCCAAGAAATCCATCACACCTTGCCTAATCTTATCACCATATGTTGATTTCTTTGTAGAATAAAATAGGCCTAAGTGAAATAAACATGTATCTGACTCTTCTATGGGGAGTGAAGTGGAATCTTCTAGATTAGTTTTAATTTTAGGACATGTCTTGTAGACTATCTTAGGACCACATTTGCAAGGAAGAGAAAAAAAGTTCATTAAGACTAGCAATAAGAGGTGGGCTGGCGTGGGGGGTGGGTAGGGGCGCATGTCTGTAATCCTAGCAGTTCAGGAAACTCAGGCAGGAGGATCACAAGTTCAAAGCCAGCCTCAGCAAAATTGAGGTGCTAAGCAACTCAGTGAGATCCTGTCTCTAAATAAAATACAAAATAGGGCTGGATGTATCCCAGTGGTTGAGAGGCCCTGAGTTCAATTCCTGGTACCAAAAAAAAAAAAAAAAAAAGTAATAGAAACTAAAAAATCAAAAACCCTGAAGCTAATATATCCTTCTTACTCAGACTAAGAAAAAAAAAAAACCTGTGCATTTCTTAGTTATTGCATATTCCACAAATGTGAACAGATGAAGGAGGTGACTTCAGGCACAAGAATTAGAAAACTGCTAGGATGGTGGAAGGAGAGGGTCATCATTATACAAAACACATGTATGAAGATGTGAATTTGGTGTCAACATACCTTATATACAAACAGAAATATGATAATGGTGGTATAAAGGTGTATTAAGAATTGTATGCAAAAAAATTAGAGCTCATGTATAATGGCATAATTTGGTGTGAACATACTTTATATACAGAGTTACAAAAAATTGTGCTGTGAATGGATAATTATGAACGTAATGCACTCTACTATTGTCATGTATGTAAGAAATAAATAAAAACAAAGAAAAAAAAGATTTAGAAAACTGCTTTACTAGATGCCCCATGTGTTTCAGACATTGAGAGCTACCCTGAACTGGGACTGCCCTCTATTTCTACCAGAGGGACCCATCTGAAATATGGCAAGCAGAATGAGGCCAGTAAAGTTGGTCAAGTTGCCATGTATTAGCTTCTTCAATGCTATTCTTTCCCTAAGGTTCCATCTCAGGTCTAGGATCTGATACACGATCCCACTATTACATGGTAAGTTCCTTAAAGAGCAGAGAATGTTCTGTGTAAATCTTTGTAATCCATTTGTGTATCTATTCAAGAAACAAATGATTTAGTCAGTGTTGGCCTTAAAGAATACCATGGTGAGTAGAGTGGACTTGGTCTTGTTCTCTTAGAACTTGTATTCTGTGGAGCAATTTGCAACTTGTACAGAACTTAAATACTGATAGAGTAAACTTGAGTTGAAATTAAGCAAAATTTTCATTGGATGATGACAGAGTTACGTGATCTATGCATTGAACATATGAAAATATAACCATACATTATCTGCTAGGAGGAAAAAGAAAATAGTCAAGCCCTTTTGAGTGATGTTCTTGACTCACAAATTCATCAGATATTAAGGGACCAAGAACCCCAATGATCCATGCTGATTTCTGAAGAATTCAAGTAAAATATATGTTCTTATTTTGTATTCTCACTTTTAGTTTTTCAAAAATATTTTTGCTTCCTGAATTATCCAAGATCATCTTCAAACAAAACATAGAAACATTCTTCAAACAAACTCTTCAGAGACAATGAAAATATTAGAGTTTCTTCACTCATCTTTTCAAATATCTCTTCTCTACAATATGCTTCTAGAAATGCATCTGTGAACAAATATAATAACATTCACCAGTGATGGTTATTAATAATATACGAAACATATGTATGTGTGTATATACATATATTTATAAATTAGACTTAGACTGGGCAATCAGTAAATTACCCTGGGAAGGTTACTTGTAACCAGAAATCTGACAAATGGATAAAAGTTAGCTCTTGCACAGGCGATGGAATTGGTATCTCTCTTCATGGAATGAGCTGGCTGCAGAATAAAAGATAGTAAAGAGAAAACGGTGGGAAAAAACTACAGTACACAAGAAGTAATTTTGAAAAGCGGAGGCAGGACGGTTCTTCAATATAAGGGAATGAGCTTCCACACTGCAAAGAGAGTGATGAAGCCCACACTTGCTTTATTTATATGGGGAAACATCAAAGGCTTTTGATGGAATGTTCTTTGCCAAATAAGGTAGGAGGTGGGCTGTCCAGTTCCCAATGGGTTATGCCCAACTCCAGAGATATGAGAGTTGTTTCACTAGTAAAGGGAAGACAGATGGTCTGGGACAGTCTGATATGCATGGGAAAGCTGGGATAGTTCCCAAGGAAAAAAAACTAAGACTCCATGGCTCAGTACCATGTAAAGACCCTTCAAGTAGCTCATAGCGGTTCCCCACAATTAGCAAAGGGAGATAGATGGGTGAGGTATGATTCGGATAGGAGAAAATAGCCAAGGAAAACAGCCAAAGCATCATTCCAAGCAGAGGCAACATGAGAGACTGTACCATAGAAAACCAACAGAGAACTGTTGATCAGTTCACGTGTTTCAATCACTCTTCCTTCCTGTGGTTCTATCACCCACTCCTCGAAGTCCATTTTACAACTGTATACAGAATCATGTTTCTAAAACACAGCCCTCCTCTCATCATCCTGTTCCTAAAGACACTTTTAGTCAATCTCACTACCTACAACCTCACTCATACTGGCCTCCTCATTCTTCAAAGCCATCAGTGTCCATTCCATACATGACACCAGGGTGGTTAGCACTCTCAGAATCTTCCAGTCACTCTACAGTTTTGTACATGCTTGTCCCTCTTAATACTCTTTCAAACTTTTCCATATTACTGATTTCCACATTGTCTTCCTCTTCTATGTATTTGGTCCCCCTTAGATTAGCATGTATCATATAGCAGATCAGCTCTATAACCATCTGTCTCTTCTGCTATACTGTGAGCTTACAGCTGTCATGCCATATGTCTTCAACTAATGCCTTATGAATGAACTGACTTAACATAAAACAAATTTGGTTTCTATCAAAAAGTAAGCGAGGAAACCATGGTATCTTATATCAGAAAACTCTGAAGCAAGGCGTCAACTCCTGATCCAGCTCCAACATTAGAATGCATAACATCTGTTTGTGTTCCTCCACCAACTTGAACTTTGAATGCTGCTTCAAGTTCCCTAGAAATAATCCATGAATGCTTTCATAAAGATTGTGAAGAAGTGACCAAAATGGCAGTTACCTTGCAACCACCACAGCGGAAGACTCCTCATTACATTGCCGTCATCCTTTTGAAATACCACCTTGTCAAACACTTACCACTTATAACATGAAAGAAAAATTGCCATGATATTTTAGATATGCAAATAAAATCACATAAAACAAATATGTTGAGAGCCTCCTGTGAAAAATGTGTAGAATCTGCATGGAAGCCGATTGAAAATCTGGTTATCTGGGAACTTAACAGAGGCAATTCTGCTGTAAGATGGCCCAGATACATGTGAACTCCCCTCAGCTCTGCTCAAAAAGGTCCCACACAGCACCAGAGATAGGGTGACCTGCTGTAGTCACACAGCCTCTTTGAGATGAGTGTAACCTGCCAACATGCCAATCAACCTTTGGACTGCAAGACATCACTATGCAAGACTCCACCTCTGAAGCCTTATCCTTGCCTTTGATGTACCCCCTTAAATAAACCGCCGGGGCCATTTTCTCATTCTTCAGCTCTAGCACCTGTGTGGGCTGGACCTATCAGGCACTCGGTATTTAAAACTTATTTTTCTGACTTTGCCTTTTATTTCTTTGCCATTTTAGACTTTTTCAGGTGGCTTATCCCGTCCTGACCAGGAAAAATTATCCTGTCAAGGTGCTTGCTACCTTGCAATGTAAATACATTACCAAAACCTGTTGCTAGTATCAAAGCCTACTCAAACTCGAGTCTCGCTGTTTCATTTCCAATTAACTCCTCCTCCTATTTAAGCAAAGCAGCAGGTGTTACTGCACCCATTCGACCAGTCTTTCTGGAACAGATAACTCATTACTCTGTCAGAGAACATTAAGCTCAAGTATTAACTTTGAAATGTTCATTAACAATAAGGTTCAGAATAAGGAAATGGATGCCAGGGTTACAAATAAATTCTTTAAAAAAAAAAAAAAACAAGCACATGCACACAGAGAGGTTCTGAAAACTTATCAGTGCAAAGTCAATAGTCAGAATGATGCTTTTTTAATAACTCCTGCTTAAACACAGGAAAAGGACTACCAGAGTTCTGAAAAATGCTTCTGGAAACCATCAAATCATTCCCAGTCTCCAGACTCTAAGGTGCTTCTTCCTGGAACATGAGGCATTTAGTGTTCACAAATAGGCTCAGTGGTTGAAACACCTGGCCTGGGCCCAGCCAAGCCCTGTGACTCATAGAACCAGAAGCCTGGATTTGGGACTTTATTCTATCCTTGCACCCAATTCTGCCTCCATTCTGAATCTCCTTCTGCTTGTGTGTGAGTCTCCTTTTCTTACCACAGTCATATCCTCAGCCTCAGTCCCTGCCCAGGTAGCCCAACCCCTACAGCATGTGTCCTTTCCCTCCTCCTCTTCTCTTTACCACTTGGAGAAGCAGAGCCCAGTGGCAGACACCCCAAACCACAGGTAACACTTCCACTGTGCTCCATGGTTGCTCTACCTCTATTCCGGCTATGAGGACTTTCCTGTCTTTGAAAGCCCACAAATTGTTTAAACTACTATCAGTTTGCTGCCACACCCAATCAATAATAACTTGTCCTCCCTGTCAGAATGAAATTATTTGTAAAGCCTGTAAAATGTAAGGTTTGACTTGAAAGGTAGAGTGCCCTGGGGCCCTGGGGTCACTTCTAGGTTCATCACTTCTAAGTAACCTTGGCTTAGTAGCTTAACCTATGAGTTTCAGTTCCCACCTCTCAAAACAAGAAAACATTATTTTTTACAGATTTTTCTTAAAAAGACTATATGAAATATATATATATATATATATACACACACATACTCACATATGTATAACACATATACACACATATGTATAACATATATACACACACATATGTATAACATATATATATATATATGTATATATATAGTACTGTGCC